AAGCGCAGTCTTCGAGCCGTGGGAACACATATTCACGGGACTGGACTTCGTTAAAATAGAGAAGAACGCATCCGTGTTGGACTATTGGTTGCTCTTATTTATTAGATCGTCCGAAGAGTTTCTTTCGTTTTATGAGAAAATAAGAGACGCACAACGTTTTTCGTTTTATATTATTTTGTCGAATTACGTACGATCCATTTTCTTCTGTTGAGATAAACACCGCGATATTTCACAGACTTGATTTCACGCTCGTACGAAGGTGAATTGTTGTAAAAAGCCCGTTTGCGAAAGAAAGACACTTTTCGGGCAACCTAATTCATCGAGATTTTGTTAATAATAATTTCCACGCGAGTCAAATTTTCACTTCATTCGACCGTGTTTTCCACGAGTATTGCAATTTTCCCAATTTGTTAAATTTTTCTTCAATATATTCTTTAATATATCGTGATATTGCGATTGCGTGTAATTGAAAATTCGTTGATTCATACATGTTGGAATATTGACAAAAAATCTTCAGGCTTAACGCTAGATTTGTATAAGTCTATTGTATTATTTTAGGCAGCTTTTAGAAATGTATGACACAAAAAATTACTTTGTAAAAGATTATCATTAAGATTGCAAGAAATTGTACCATATCGTAGAGTTATAAATTATGGGGAAGATAACAAATAACGACATTTGTTATTTACAGCGATGAAGAAATTAAATTCAAACAATAAAGTTGCGATGAAATTTTGATTAATCTGTACTAATTCATATAGTTTTACTTCAAAGACCAAAATACATGTTTTCGAACATCGGTCATTGTTTAATGCGTCGATTCTGAAATAGATAGCATCAAAATTGTATAACCTTTCTATCGTGAAATTTAAATATGTATTTCTCTGAAAAATTCATGGCACGTAAAACAGTCGAATGTAAATATCGCCTTTTCCAAAAATGAGCAACGTTGGTCATTAAAAATTTCTTAAATCGTAGGTTACTCTGTTTCAAAATTCCTTAAGAATTTAAATAATAAATTAATACTCTAAATAGCAATTTGCAGAGATCAGTGACTACGATAGCTAAATAACATTATAATTAAATATCTTAAAAATTTAGAAACTTAAAAGAACCACGAACTAAATGATAGAAAATAATCAAAGTTGACTTTGTCTATCCACTCGTATCAAACGATACAGTAAGTCACAACGCGCGATATGTCGATTACAGGCATACACACGCATACGTACGCATACATCATTCGTTAATGAATCTCACGAGAAATGTATGAGTAAATGTGTATATCGTGTGTATACGATACATGTGCGAGTAAAGGACACGGGATCACGACGAAAGACACGAACTCGGGGTACGGAGACACATACTAATTAAACGGCAGTATTGTCTGGCCCGTTGTGCGAAGACATGCTAATTACATTTCGAAGAAGAAATCCTTTTTCACCCCATAGACTTGGCCATGAATGAAGCGCGAATCTCGCGCCCGTTTTCTTTTTTCCGCCGAATGAAAAGGATTTCTCCGTTGCTCGCTCATCGCCTCTGTCTGTCTCTCATGCGCCCGCGTACGTCTCCTCTGAAACGACCAACTGCTGTGTGCCAGTTCGTATATCCACGGGCCGACCCTAACGTCGCCATTGTATTCGACATATACATATATGCACATGAACACACGGTTCTTTTAAAAGAAAACTACTCGTCCGTCTGTGCCTTCTTCTCCTGAGAAGTCTTTTTCCTCTTGAACGACGACGATGTCGTCGATAACGAGGATGTTCATGGCTGTTGGTATTCGCGTATAAGCTATACATGCTTCCATTGGTTATTATATAAGTGATATGATGATACAGAGAGATCATAGAGTTTATTAGTCAATCGGTTAATTTCGGAATTAATCAAACGAATTGTATTGTATTGGGTCATCCTATAGGGAACGCAGCTTTTCTGAGAGCTGAATCAAAAATAATAAATCTTGTTACCACGTGAGGGTTTAATAAGTTTCTTTAGGTACGTTCGTAAAACTACAAAGTCCCGCAAATATTCGTAGTCTATGCACAGTTTTACATCAAATATTCACCGAACTCCTGAAATGGTGCAGTGCTTTTCTGACCAATACAAATTTATATTTATATCACAATTTCTCCTTTCGTTTTAAACTTATTGCATTGGTACGTCTATTTGCGGTTTTTCTATTTATGAATGAGAAGATATCATAAGTTCCAAGTAGGTAACTTTTTATCGTATGGAATACTTAAACACAGTTGGTGTCGAGAGCTTAATTAATGACTACGCTATATCTTGGCCCATACTATATACAATTGAAACGAACAATAAAACCCCGATGGTGGTAATTAGCGATCGAGGCTCGATAATCAGGTTGGTTTGTTGAACGGCATTGTGCCGGCCGTTCCCGGCCAACCGTTTCATTCAACGCATTTTGTTGTTATTTTGTATAAATATTTGCGGATTTTAATATGAAGTGACCGACAGAACGTGACGGCATAATGCGAAGGTGATGCAATTTAATAGAAATTACTTGAAATTCATTAAAACTACCGGCGCGCGAGTATCGAAATTAATTTATGCCCGTCGGTGAAACATGCGCCGCGATAAAATCGAAATTATTATAAATTCCGATGCCGCTGCTCTTGACCTTGTTGCATCGAATTAAATGTTTAAACGGATTTCGAACCCCCGTTTCGCGCGCCGCGCCGCTTCGAAAATGAGAGGAAAGCAATCGACAATCACACTCGAAACGCACACATTCGTTTCCCCACTAACCGTTCTTTCACCGTTTCGTTTGTTCTTTAGATTGACGAATGACGACGTAACAGAGAGCTGGCTGGTGCGCGGATACCGGGACACAAGAGGTAAGTCGAACTATGATTAAACAATAGGACTATTCTGGTGCGCGGTTTTCCTTTGACGGTGCATTCGTAATTTCCTAAGTGTCGCCCCGTGTCGAATCGCTCGAAAAATCATCGGCCGCGTAACAAGCGCGAAATTAAGCGAGCAGAAAAACGCGAGGAAACTGAATGCATATTGATTACGCTCGCTGAGAAGAAACGAGGGAACACGGTATTTATATTCGATGAAATATGTATCGCATTGACACGCCAGAAGAGCGAATGCAACACGTGTGAAAGGTAGCTTTCAATCTGGATATTTCAATATTTTTGTCTGCTCTGTTCCTTTCGACTTTTCGGCCACTTTTCAGCCGTCTCGTTAAAATCACTCGCACGCGCTCTCGTTTCTTGTCACTTTGTCGATCCACTGATAAAAATGCTACAATCGGATCTTGTTTTATCAGGTGTTTATAAGTAAATATACATGCACGATGCTTTATAATTTTATTAACTCAAACTACGGTGGGTAATTGAACCGTCGATGTGAAGTTTAACGATCGATGCAGGTTTTTGTCAATCATAATTTATACCGAAATAAAAATATGTAAAGGAATTACGTTAAATGATGGAAAGATATATAGATAATTTATATTTATTGACATACACAAATTTGTTATATTATTATTGCTTTTTTATTATTATTATGCCGCAGATGTTTATGCAAATTCATATTAATAATAAGGACAAATAAAGCATTGAAACTGGAATAAAAGAACGCTTTATTCTCTAAATGCAGTAATATATTCTTTGCTTTTAATATTCCGTTCCTTCTGATACGTGTTCCTTCGTGTGTGCACACTTTTTTCAATTATTGCATATGTACATCTACTTGTCATAAATACGTAAATATCCACGATATAATTGTTGTATAGCGGACTTTTGTCGTGCACTTCTTTGAGAAAATGTACTAATCTCGCAATCAATACCTCTAAAATTACCAGACTCTGAACATAAACTTAACTTCTCTTTTCTTCTCCTCAACGTGATCTATCGACTGAATTTTATACCTGTAGTTTGCTTAGCCTGCAAGTGCACAAGCACCTGCCGCTTACAAGCAGGCGAGCTATTCATAGGAAACATCGTGCGATATAAGCGCCGAGGCAGTCTCCGTCTTCGACAGATATCGTGGACGAAAGTTCACGTGGCCTACGGCTGCGGAGGCATCCGGCAAAGGTCTCTGATTCGACCAGTGCATTTTAATTCCTCCCCGTTGGCTCTCCGCCGTTCTTTTTTAACTTTTATACATCACCGGGCAGGATTATGCAAGCAAAGAGCCGAGGTCTTTCCATGACGCGGAGCGAATGCTTAGAATTTAAAATGCATTTCATATCGTTATGCTCTCCGCTTTCTCTTTCTCATCGCGCTCTTCTTTTGCCGGGCACCGTCTCTCGCTTCTTCGTACATCGCACGCGCCCCGTCTCCCTTTTTTCACCCTCTTTCTCTGAACCCCACACCCCCTCTTGTACCGTATCTGTTTCCCTCTTTTTCTCTCTTTCACCTTCCTCTCTGTCTTCGCTCTACTCCTCTTTCCAAGAATCAGTCCTCCTGCCCGCTCGTTCAACAGACGGCATATATGTCTTTATGAACGGTATGTGGAGTAGACAAGTGCATTAAAACCTCGGGCGTTAGTTCAAGCTTCAAGAGGGAGGAGGATGACTGGGTTGTAGGAGGGTAGATGGAGGGCTCAGGAGGACACACAAAGGAATGCAAAGTAAGAACCACGACCTCCGCCAAACCCCTTCTCGCGGCTGCCCCTCCATTCCGTGCTTCATCCGGCCTCATCCTCGGCAACCTGCTCCTCCACCTCCGTCATCTCCAACCATCTACCTCCTTCTTCACCGTATCGTTCTCCTCTGCCGGAGGTTACAACGCATTATCATACAAGGCGGTCCTCTCCTCGCCTTCCCTTAATTGTTTTCCACCCCCGTGTTTTCTTCTTCCTTCTCTCTCTCTTCCTTCTCTTTCGCTCCACGGTTCCATGCCTGTCATCCACCTCGCACTCCAACGTCTCCGGACAATCAGTGCCCTTCCCCCCTCCACCCTTCTCTTCGCACACCGATCACCTGCGTTGAAACCACCAAACGACACGGAAAGAGTGTTTCCCTTTGCCTTGGATGGAGACACTCGTCGCGGATCCACGAGTGGTCACTCGTAGGGCGCCGAATTCCACGCCTTCGAGCGCGATCATCCACGATTGTTCGACATCAAAGGTGGTTCCCAGCAACACTTTGTGCCTCGCCCGTCGAGTCTGTGTAACCAAGAGAAACTCGTGAGCCCGACAAGCCCAGGGATTCTGGTCTTTCTCCCTCCTTCTTCTCTTCCTTCCTTGCAGAAATAAGAATCAGTTTGATGAATTTTGAACGCGCCCTCTCTTCTAGTCCCCAAGCACCCGACAGATTCGTTTGAGCGTAACTGATTAAAGGAACGACGAGGTGTCGAAGGATCTTCGCGTTTCAATTATCGCCTCGCTTTTCTCTTGTTTATACGTTCGAGTGGACGCCAATCGTGATCTTTTACCGACAAAAATATCGGCTGCCTACTTTTAGCGCGGTGATTGTTGAACGATTCGTTTCGTGTCTTATCCGCACTGGTAGTGAATTGTCGTACGTTCGACTGTAATGCATGGTAATCTACATATATGTATATGAGGTTAGAATAAACAGTATTAGTTAAACTACAGATATTTCTGAAAGCAGCTTCCACGGAGGAGTAGCTGTATTTTAATAACGGACAACATGAATTTATAGTACCTTTCAAAAAGTGATTCGATTTCGATCGATTTTGAGTTGGCGTTTGTTGGTTTATTCAAACTATGTATTGGCAAATGGAGGTGTCTCCTTATGAATTCTAATGCTGGTGATCAGTGATATCCGTGCCAGTGAACGTGCTAATGCGCAGGAGGCAAACAGATCCCACGATCAGCGACCTTCCATATTTCCGCGTGCTCGTATATTTTTTCCTCTCGCGATGCGTTCCATTCGCGTTTCGCTCACCGATTACAATTTGCCGGCAAGTTGTTTGCCGCGCCAATTTATATTCGCCCAGCTCCCAGCACGTACCGCGTTCTCCGCTAACGTTCGGTTGCTAGGAGACGAACCGGGCCGCGGTCTGCAATTGAAATTAATTTGGTTGACTTTTTGAAAGCAAGCACGGACAATGGTTCGTGCGCAACCCGAGATGCTTCTCGCCATGGTTTCCGGTGAAATTTCACGTTCGATTCTATTTTTTATTTGACACGGCTCTCGTTTTACCGTCGTTACATCTCTGATGTAAGAAATATTTAATTGGCGAGGGAAAGAGGAGGACCAACTGGGAGGAAGGAAATCACACTTGCCACAATTATTTACCGATAAGTTTATTAGCAGAACCGTTCCGGTATATGTTCGCGGTATATGTGCAAAGTGTCTATTTGGGGATAATTTCGTGATGTTTATCTATGTAAATAAATGTGGTGTTCGAGTACACTGTTGATTCCCGTGGTGGATTAGGGAATCGAATTGTGCCTGGTGCTGCTCTTATGGGAATAGTCTGTTTCAATTTGTGACGGCGTCAGGTGTAGATTAGATAAATTCTTGGAAAAGGTTATGCGAGATAATGTTACTAGAAAAAGTTCTATTTGAATATCTATGTATATTCTATTTAAGGGATTTTCTGATTCTTCTATGATAAGGATGTAGTAGGTGAGCAATGTACTTTTCAGTGAAAATATTGAATTAGTATTATGAAATTTTTATTCGTTGTGCAAATATAAAAAGAACGAAGAAAAAAGCAGCTAATATTAAAATACTAGAATTAAAACTTCCGACTCAATTCGTCATTTCATCTTATGAATCTTTTTCTCAGAATGTCCCCTATTTTCTTGATATTTTAATATGTTTTCAGTTTTAAGATTACGAATAATAGATGTACAAATAAATAACGTAACTTTACACAGAAAATTCGAACAAACGAAAGTGAAACTAAATATCTCGACTCATTATGTTTAACGTAATGAATTGTGTACAATATTCAATGGCAAAGGTATTAATATTGGTAATAATTTCTGTAGAATTAAATTATATATTCGTTTGAAGGATGATAATACTTCTTTAACGTATTATTGAATTATTGTATAATTACAGAGCAATTACAATTACACATGCATAAAATAATATATGAAATAATTGTATCCAATTAGAATTAAATACCGAACTATTGTCGCTTTTAGCGCTAGAAAATAGAATGTTTTCTCGCTTCTGTGGTAAAATAAACAATGGTAAACTTAAAAATGAAAAAAGAGAAAAGGATATTACAATTACATATCTTTTTCTCATCTTCGAATGCTAACATAATTGCATGCTTAACTATTACGATTATCGTATCACACTTGGTCATTCTTACACGATACTACGCAAATTGTCAAAGATCACGGAGAGAGCGGCGATTAGTTACGACAAGTTACTGAAGTTTAGTCGCAACTTCCCGTTCCAGATCGACATCTGTTTAAGATGAAACGGTTCACCCTCGATTAACCTCGACGGATGTGAAATTTCTCGAACTCTCGTTAAGGATTCCAACGCTGTGCGATTCGCTTCTAAACCACAAGTAGTCGTTCTCGAACTCGATTAGCATTCTCATTTTCGGAGATATCAGAAATTGGCTCGGTTTCAAGAAAGCACCGTCTGAATCGAAGCGAGAAGCGTGACTTCGATAAAAGCGAAGTTGAGAAACATTAACGAAACAATTAAATTCATAATGCCGGTTGTGACATGGAGGAAACCGCGTGATATTCGATCGATCGTATTTTCAAAAGTGACAATTCGCCACGCCAGCGAGTTCACAAACACTTTCTTTCATCTGGTTTACGGTCGTGCGTCATCGGTACGATGTAACGCAATTACAAAGCCGTAACATACTAATTCGGTTAATTCCAAATTATCACCCCTGATTTTACGCGTCGTCAAGCATCGTTAACGCGGTGAGCT